AAAGTTCTTCAAACGCTTTGCAGATGAGGCCCGGTTTGGAAATGGCAGCCCGTCCAATTTTGATCAATGGCCATTTTGTCCTTTTTCGCAGTGATTTTTGCATTCAACTGACTCTTGTCGGAAGGTCGTTTCACCTACAGCTATAAGATTTGGTGGGCATGTGTAGCAGGTCAGGACGCACAAAAAAGTCAATCAGCACCAAGTCCTAACCCCAACAGGAAGTATGTCATTTTGAAAAACCTTGGTGACAATTTTGCCGCATTTGGCTGACTTTTGGCCATTTTTGACCATTTTCACAATCTATCTCCTCCTACAGGGAAGGTCGTACACACCTGAAATTTGGCCGGCACAGACTACAGGAGGTGGTGATTAAATATTATTAAGACGGTTTGCACAAGTGTGACGCGGTGGAAATGGCGCCCCCAGCAATTTGCCCACAACGCCATAACATGCCATAATACAAGGCGTGCTGTGTAACTGGCTTGTGTGTGCTGCAATCGCCTGGAAATTTGACACGCATGCTCTGAGTCTCAGCCACAGCGCGTTGCCAGCATGCCACGCCATGCACACCGCCTCGGCTCGCCATTAAACAGGAAGTGCAGTGTAAATAGCTGATACATGCTCCAATTGCTGTCAAACTTCACATGTTGCATCACAACATGTGTTCATATCATATCATATAACGACTCTCAGTCACAATGCCACCTGGGGGCGTGGCCAAAACTCCTTAAAACGCCGTAATACGAGATGTACTGTGTAACTGGCCTGTATGTGCTCTGATCTTCCTCAAATTGAGTGTCAGCCAGAGCACGTTTCCACCACGGCCTACAGGCACGCTGCCGCAGCTCGCCACTAAACAGGAAGTGCCTCATAAATATGCCACAAATGCTTTGATCTGATCGAAACGCTCGTCGCCGGATCAGAGTCTTGCCCGTAGCATGTTTGTGCCACACCCTGACGTGCGCAAAGGTCGACAAGCGCAGCAAACATCGTTATTTTTGTCAGCAGTGTGCAATTTGTTGCTGAAGGTTAACATACACCTGCCTGCCTCAGTTGCCTGCCAGAGGTTTTTCAGCAGTACAGGACTTTTTTTGACTCAAAAGGGCCGTGTTTATCCAAACAACTTTGAGAACCAGCTTTTGCTGAGACTCATAATACATGTTGGTAGTCTTGAAGAGATCACTGTTTCCATTTTGACTATAATGTTTAATGTTCATAATCTTGCTGAAATAGAAAACTGTCCAGTTATGTGTTTCTCTGTCAAGCACTGTGCAATTGCTTAAAGCAATCTTGTGTTCTGTGCTACTAACTTTTTCGTTTTGCTGAGTTATCAAAAGAGGCATTGCGTATCATCGAAGCAAAACAATAATGTTGACTTTTTACTTTTGTACTTCAGTACATTTGTGAACCTGTGCTTTCTTAGTTTTACTTGAGTAAAGGAGTTGAGTCAGTGCTTCTGCTTTTATCGCAGTCCATTTTTACACAACTATCTACTTCGACTTCTGTAAAGAATGTCTATGTACTTTGGCCATCTCTTTCAGCCACTCGTTTTACCACAAACTGGAAAGATGACATAACATGTTATATGCAGTCACATTTTCAGCATCCTTTTCGCTTTGATGTTGTGCTACTCTTATGAAGCTAGTCGTTGTGACTTGCAAAAGTAGTTGATACTAAATTACAACAACTTTCATGTTCACGCCAAAACAAGCAGGACACCGCAGGGAATCGAACCCCATCCTGGT